ACTCGGCGCGGTGCATGCCGCATCCTGCACAGCCCTCCCGGCACCAGCACCCCGCTCCTGCCCGCTCCCGCCTGCCCTCCCGGGGTCTGCAAACACCGGGAGCCTTTTCCTGCTGCACACAAACCAGCAGGAAGCAAGCTCTGGCTCTCACAGGGCTTACAGCAGCCCAGGTGATGGCAATGGGCAAGGCAAGCATGGAGCAGCTCCAAGGAGCACGGATTCTCCCAGTCCCATTGCCCATCAGAGACACGTTTGTCTGGGAGAACCCAGCTCACTGCACGCTGCTGCTCAGGCCGAGGGATGTGAGAAGCACGCAGGGAGAATGCACGTGTCTTGCCTGCTGCAGGGAGGGCTTTGCACTGAGGTTGCTCCTTGGCACGGGGCAGCCCCTTCACGGGGCTCACAGCTCAGCTTGTCCAGCTGCGCCCCAGGGACAGGGCACCCACCCTCCGCTTGTTCCACCCGGGACATGCCAAGGGCCTCCATCAGGCAGCCTGACCGGGACCGTGCCAGGACCACGCTCCCCACGCAGGAGCAGTCACCCTGACCTGCAGAGCCCTCCTTCCCACTTTTATTCAGCAATTAGGCATCTAATTATGCAGCAAGATGCAATTGCCCAATTCCTGCAAGTCTGGGGCCCTGCCCCGCCGCCTGCAGGCACTGAATCACCCTCTGCAGCTCCAGCAGCTCCGCTCCTCTCCAGCATTCCCCACGGAAACGTTTCCTGCACATGCAACTGCGTGTCTCGGCGCGGCACAGTGCGCTGCCAGCCCGGCATGTGCCACGCACGCGTCTCCAGAGCCCCTGGAGGCTTTTCCAGCCCCACACATGGCACAGGAAAGGGGTGGTCCCTTGCACAGCACCCACCTGCAGCCCCGGAGCAGCACCCAATGAATGGGGACAGCCCAGCATCACCACACCTTGGGCACAGGTAAGGGCAGAAAGGGAAGGGGAGATGAGAGGGTGCCCTCGCCTCCAGGCTCAGGACAAGCCAGGAAGGTTCATCCTCACCCCGCAGCATCCCAGGCGCAGGAGCAGAGTCTGACCATCATACCTGGTATTCCAGCGCCATCCCCACATCCCTGCTCTCGGATTCCTCAGTCCCCAGCTCAGCGGAGCCGTTCTGTCCCTCCTGGGAGCTGCTGCCGGAGAGCGTGCTGCTGCTCCGGGATGAGTCCCGGGAATCCTCCTCTGTCAGGTCGATGGTGGGGATGGGGATGGATGCCGATGAGCGCCGCTTGGAGCTCTGCATGGTGGAGAAGTGGAGTGTGAGTGTGGGGAGAGGGGAAGGGAGAGACCTGCCCCACGTCACCCGCAGCCCCTCAGCCAGGGATCAGAGAGGGGGAGTTGGGAAGGGGGGGCACCAGGAATGGAGGGAAAGGCCCCGAACTGGGCATCTGAGGGAGAACTGCTCTGCTTTTACTTGCAAGACACAAAATGGTGCAGCACGTGCCCCTTCCCTTTTCCTCTCCCCAGTTCACCCAAAGTACCCAGTTCATAG